TTGGGAAAACATCGCGACGCAAACCACAAATTGAGCGAGGAGCTTGGCCGAAAATCGCTTCAGCAGTTACAAAGCGCCAATTATATATACTACTCAATGTATTTTAACTTTTCTTATATTATCTTTGCAAGATAAAATGCAACAATTTAGAAAATTAGGAGAGCCCTTCTTCCTTATAGGTCCCTATACAAGTTAATTGGAATTATGAAATGAAGAATAAAGGATAAGAAACTGGTATTGATGTGCTAGTGACGGGATAAGGCAATTGAAAAAGCGACTACAATACCAGAAGATATAGAGATATCATTCAGCTCTAATAAATATTGTCGAAATTAGAAGAAGACTGAGTCTTCTAGGAATCATACTGCCGGTGATATTAAATCAATGAAGCCCTCTCACCTGCTAGGATTTCTAATTGCTTTAGGATTGATTGGAGTAATGTGAAAAGATCGGGGGACACAATAAGCCAGTAGTCCTTCCCTATCTACAATTTTTATATTTATACAACAACCTTGGGACAATTTAAGTTTAAAATTCAAATGTTTATTTAAGAAAATATACTATACATACTATACAAAATTTTTATATGAAGAACTTTCAGATCCCTAATAAATAGGTTTTTACATCGGAAAATATCCAAAGGTTTTTATTAAAATTTTTTTATTATTTAATAAAGTGGAATAGTAAAACTTATCGTAAAATTTTTCCGAAAAAAAATATATTTAAAGATTTTAAACGCAATACAACTGTATTAAGGTAAACGTGTTATCTTCGTTTAAAATAATAAAAATTTAATATTGGGTTCTTTTGGTCCATCGCTTCATCGTTTAGCTACACAATTTTTAAATGAATTTATTATTGCTGTTATTTCTACCGCAAGCAAAACAATTTACAACAAAAAAATTGCCCTAACCAACGTTACTATTTTCGTATCATATATCAACTCATTAATTACTTTATTTATTTATTGCTATTTTTGGTGCAAAAGACCAATAATTTATCTTTCGAAATTTTAATTCTAAAATTTCTTCTCCACTCACTCATTTTCAATTCTACCGCCAACCAAAATTTATGCCATTATATTTATCACATTCCAAACAATTTTCGTGTTCAAAACCATAATTATTTAAACGACATTGCAAATTTTGGGGCGGTCAAGAATTCATGGCGGATTCCAAAAATGGACTACAATCCGGTAATTTTCATTTAATTGCTGCTGCCATAGAATTCTGACCACAAATAACAAATAACATTAATATTCATTGGTATATTCTCACCCAAAAATTACAGCAATTACCACAGATTGTATGCATGTGCATATATGTACGTGTGTCTGTGTATTTGCAGCATTGTCAGTGCAATAAAGCACGACAAATAAGTTTTCAACAAATAACGAAAGTAACGAATCGTAAATTTATAACCGAAATTCATACAAATTACTTAGAAATATGTAAGCATAGTTGTATACACGAATGTACGTATACAGTCAATATAGCGGGTCGAGAGATATCAACAATAACAATTTCCTGTCAGCTAAGGATTTCTTATTCGCTCAGAAAATTCTGCCACATTATTGTATTATTGAGCAAGCATAAATAAATTCTGACCGAACGTTGAAAGCAATCAAGTTAAGAAATTGGTTTTTATTCGCACACACACACACTTGCATACGCTAACTTGTGTGTGGATATATTATACGTGTATAATATGTATGTATGGACAAGTACAGCCTAAGCTGCTGGCCTTTTCGTTGGCACAAATACTGTGGCTGCGTACAAAAATATAACCTTTGACACATGTATATATATATATATAAGTAGCTTAATTCCCAGAGCATATTAAATATTTAAGAGTGCAGGAAGCATTAACAAATAATAATAGCAAATATTATTATATTACATTTACCATTAAAATGTTATGAGCGAAATGGGTACTAATGGCAGAATAATTTTTGGTGGCGACCTTTAATTGTCCTTTCCAGCTTATAATATATGGCTTAGCAGCAGCTGTAAAGGTTTTCATTAACTTTAAGCCTATGGAATGCGAATTGGCCAATATGCTTCTGCGAAGACTTATCTGCTCACTTTTACAGGTCAAAACTTATGAATACTAAAGACATTTCTCCGGCCCAGAATTTCATTTACCATTATTCCGGTGGAATAAAAATTCGACAATCGGTTTTCACAGACTTTTCTTGAGGTCAACTTTTTACCAGCCGAACCATTCGCTTTAGACAGGAACATGTGATAATATTTGGTATGAGCATCGGCCTATGAGGTGGATGCATAAAACCTCCCGGATCAAGTTCTCCTAGTTTCTGGTGAGTCACTATTGTTGTATGTGGTCTGGCGTTGACCTGATAAAACACAATTCCCCTCCTGTTGGTAAAAACTGTTCGCTTCTGGGCGACTGTTTCTTTCAGCCAAAATAAGAGTTTTGCTGTAAGGGAGTCACTCATAGTGAATAAACGTTCTTTTAAAAGTATTTTGAACGTATAGTATTATTTTATTTTTACATTTCGACAGGGTCCGCCACGTAACTTTTTTTTTTTAATGCAATAAAACAAATGCCCATTCGGCAAAGGCAAACCGCATCGGATGGTCTCGTGGCTTCAAACCTTGAACCAATTAAACTTTGTACGGTGTCATACCAAGGTTTTTTTTTCAAAATTCGCCTAAGGGACATCTCGGAAATGTCCAATTGTTGACAGCGACGCTTCACTGATGTTCCGGGCGCCTCACGCACACTCTCGGCCACAGCAGCGATATTACCGGCAGTGCCAAGTGCGTCACTTTTTTTGGTTTCTCACGCGTTTGTTTATCATTAATTGTGCCGGTTTCTCTCAATTTTTTTAAAAGAAAGCGCACATACGGAGCGGACATTGCTTTGTTACGGCTCATTTCCGTGCGTAATTCTCGCACCCATTTTCAAAGTAAAACTGCACTATTTTAACGCGTTCCTCAATCATATACACAACCATTTTTGTTCAGCGGAAGGATAAAACTAACTTTCTGTCAAATCAGATGTAACATCAGTGTTACCACACTCAAAATAACCACTAGTTCAAAAAAAAGAAATGTTAGATGGCGGACCCTGTATATACAATAATTTTGCAATTTTGGAATCCAAGTAATAGATGGATAAATTCGGCAAACAAGCTCAAACAGTATTTTTAATAAAAAATTTCAATTTATTTTTTCTTTTTGCGAAAGAAAGGAAATTTATTATGATTTTCAGTGGTATAAAAGAGTAACAAAAATCAACTCAAAAAAATTTGAATTTTCATTTTCCCTCAATAATTTAACCATTTCCTTTTTTTTATTTATTTATTATCGACCTAATTATTTATTTTTATTTTTATTTTTTATTTAATTTATTCCCTTGAAAACATGCGAACCGCATTAAATAATAAAACTGTTGGTAAATAGAAAAACTTAGCATTCATCGACCGTGAAATGACCAACATAATACTATCGGAACATTCAAGCATGAAAATCATAGCCAAAAAGGTTATTAATATGAGTATATTGCACTGAAAAGTGCGAAAGATCCAGCAACTGGCGAATTAATGGCAATTGCAATGAAATCTACAGAGAGGGGGAGCTTTCACCTTAATGAATTTTCGTTCACTTTATTGAATAAAATGTGGTTGTTATATTCTTAAATGAATTTTGATATTATTTATATTTCCCGATAATTTTCCGTCATAATTTTTGCAAATAATATTTCACATATTGCTTACTCACATCTTTAATAAAGGTTTCTAAAGCTTCTTTTTTTCTTCTGCATACAACATTATCTATATGTATATAAATCTATATTTATGTAAACGAATAATTATTTAGCTTAGATTTTTCTTTTCTCATTCAAGGATCAAAGGATTTTTTTCTATAAACAAATATGCGAAATTTTTATTTGCTGCTCTTAAGCTCAAAGTTTTATTGTACAAAAACTAGCAATTCTGTGAGTTAACGCAACATAAGCACATCAAAAGGATAATTCTGGGAATAGTATCACACCCTTTCAGCAACATCTATTCTTGGGAGTATAGCGTAAATCGTAAATCGCAGACATAAAAATTGGAAACACGCATAAAAGATACTTATATTGTAGCTAGCGTAACAATAACAATTTCAATGCATATAACTATAAATATGAGAACATTATGTTGCTCGAAATAGGAATTCATAAAATGTCAAAAGCGTGGGAAAGTATCAAATACGACGAAGCTAGGAAATTTTACCGTTGAGTATATTTTGTAGAGAATGGTCAAAATTTAATGATTTGAGTTAATTATTTCAGTAAGCTCTTGAAAAAAATATTTTTTTCGAATTAAATTTTTTTCGAAAACAATATTTGTACCAAAAGCTTACTAACTCGATTTTAAGCCAGACTACAGAGATATTCCTTTCTTGGTTTTAAAAGTACAAGGCTGTAATTTGACATCATTACACCCACAGAAAGCTTGCCGTCTGGTGCGCATTTTTAGCTCGCATTTGAAAAACATGTCTTGGACAATATGTGGTTCCAAAATGATGGCGTCACGTGCCACACAACACGAACAAATAAGGCTTTATTGCGAGGGAAATTTCCCGTCTGAGTAATCCATCGCTTTGGTGATGACAATTGGCCAACGAAATCGAGCGATTCGATACCGTTTTTATTGCGCTACGTAAGAGACTAACTGATCTAATGATTCGAAAACGAAATTCATGAAAAAAAAATATTTTAAATGCTTTTCTTTTACGTTTACTTCTTAAATTGATTGTTTTTAGGCAAAGATATTTTCATCAAGAAAATATTGAATTTACCGTCATTTATGTTTAGCTATTTATTTATTTGAAAATTATACAATATTAATTTTTAACACAAAATCAAGAAAAAATATCATATCTTTTCAATCCATTGCATGTAACAAGAATTTTACCACCCTAATGGATTCATCAGTTCACTTGCACTTGGGAGGCATGCATTTTAGACCCCCATACTCTGCTATACATATTTTGACATTCCATATGTCTGCCGTAAACAGACGTTCGTAGTCACCATGGCGGTTGATCGGGGCAAGGTCACACACACATATCTACATATGTTTGTATGCAAACCTATTTTCGCAAACATTGTAAATAACATGTATGTATGTATGTATGTAAACTGTTTATATTTTATCACACTTACCACACAATATTTCTCGCTCTTCTTCGAGCATTCCTTCAAATAGAGATGCGCATATTGATCCGAATAGTTGAGGCAGGGCGTTATCGAGCCGACGCCCTCGTTATACTGGCCGCACATGTTACACTTGAGCCCGTTAACAGTGGCAAGGCCGCAAACCAACACCGTTAACATAACGAGCACATTCTGGTAGCTCATCAAATCGTTAGCACGCTGGCTGATGTTGCGACGGCAGCGACTCATCAACAGCGACATATTGTCACATCCGATGCTGTCGTTGTTGTTATTGCTGCTTTTATTGTTGTTGTTTTGATTGACATTGTCAGTGGCCATCATCAACAGCGCTGGCATGTTGTCTGCGGTGATCATTGCAATGGTGTTGCTGTTGTTGTCTTTGTTGATGTTCAAATCGCTTGTAAATGGTGACATTATTATTTGCAGTTTAGTCGCTCTATTATTTCTTGTACAATATGCGCCGCAAGAATGTGTGTGTGTGTGTGTGTTTGTCGTCGTTACACTGCCTTTTTGCTGTATTTTTGCTTACTTTATTAGACACTTTTAGCGGTAATTTTTTTTTTTGGTGATTTTGCTGATTTTGAGATGTTTTTGATATTACTTTTTTTCTTTTGGTTTTTCTTTAGCGCGCAGTTTTTTCTTCACTTTTTATTTGCCTTTTCTTTATTGCTTTTTATGTACATATATATGTATGTAAGTAAATTGCACTGTTGGCTTAGAAGAAGAACACATCAACTCTTCGGCTTCGTTTCTCGATTTTCACTTGGAATTCTTTTCTATTTTACTTATTGTTTCACCTTACATATAGACGTATGTATGTATGCACATACATATAAGATAAATCGACGTTTTTACACTTAACTGCTCGGAAATCTCACTGCAAATAATCGAATTGCAAAGTGTAAATATTTGATTTGCTGCTCAGCGCTGAAAATGTGATTTTAATTCTTCATTTAAATGCAAGCAGACACGCTCAGCACTCACTCAATATGTGTATGTTTGCATGTGTGTGGAATTGTGGAAGTGACTGACGGAGTGATCGAATGGTGAATGAGGTTCGGGAGGGACTTTAATAGCATTTGTATGCCATAAAATCGTTTGTTATGCGATTATCAATGTAATGAATATGCAAATCGTGTCTGGCATCGGTAATGATTTAGAAAATCTAAATACTCCGACACTAGAATGGCAATTCAGTTAAAGAAGAAGAGTCGCTAAACGGCCATAAAAAAACTTGCTAACGTCATAAACTTGCTTTCAACCCGAAATTCTGTGAAAATAACACTGGAGAAGGAATTTCTCAAAGCTAAATTGCAACGCCTGGTTGGGGCGTATGAGTAACCTCAGCCCTTTCAGTCATTTTCGCACGGCTCTAATTAAAAGTAATTGAATTTGATATAATAGCAGTAATGACTGTACGACATAAGAAACTGAAAATAACATCAAATTTTAGGGCACGCTGAGTTGTCATGATGACCCAATTTCATTGTACATTGCCTCGAAATCACTGAAGGGCTGGACAGTTTTAGTTAATATCTTTGAGAAGCATATATCAGTACCCAGTACCTTGGAAGGATTGCCTAGGTTAAGCTAAAATCGAAATATTCTCATTCTTTCTGATTCGGCTAGAGCTAGAGCTGAGACGAATCCAAAGTCAGGGCTTGGGAGCTCGCACAATAACACCTATAACTCAATATAAAGTCAACCCCTACGAGTTTGTTTATGACATAAAAATGGCTCTTCATAAAAAACCGTCAGCCGTTCGAAGGTGGCTCAGTATAAACTGTAGGTACCTTCTTTTGTGGTAAAGTCATCAAGACGCATACCACAAATTGGAGGAGGAGCTCGGCCGAAGCCCTTTACAAATAAGTTCATAGATATTTAGAGGCGGCAAGGCTCTACTCCCCCTCTTGGAATGAACGCCATTGAGTTTACTTTCGTGAAGGACCTCGGCATTCGACAAGCTGGCTAACGGAGCTCGCCATAGATCATAAATATCTTAGTCATTGGAAAAGTTATATTTGAAAGTAAAGATTACGCTATTAATGACCTGTAAGCTTTTACATTCTGATAGAACAACAAAAGTAAAAATCTCCCTAATATTATAATTCTTGAGCAGGTTTGCCATTTGCTTGACAAATTAAATTCACCTAAAAATATATTAAATAATGCAGTATGACAGATATGTTTGCAGAGAGTTGCCACTTGTTTAAACTTTTCAAATCAAAAATAATGTCTATGTTTTTAAGACAACTTATTTTTAATACAACTAACGCTTTTCTTCAATGAAACTTATTTTTGCAATAAAAAATCATAATATGCAATGATATATAATTATTCAAAACAAGGGTTGCTCTCAAAAACGTTAAAAAAGTGTAAAGTTGGAAATAATATTCATCAATATTTGATTTTACTCTTCTGGATTTTCTGTGAAAAAAACTAATTCATGGTTTTTTCCCTTGGAAATACAAAATATGATTCAAAGTTCATTATTTTTTCCATTTCCGCACAACATTGCAAATAATTTCCTTAAGCCCTCTTCTCTTATTTTAAGTTGAATATTATTTTAACAACTTTTATGAACATCAAGTGTAATTTAGTACTAATCTCCCCAGGCAGAACTCGAGTTAATAATTTCAATTGCCTTCAGTTTAGAATTCACTCTTTCATGTTGTTTAGTTTACTGCCTGGAGCGAAGCAAGCCATATTTACTATTTTGTTTCAGTTTCCTGCATTACTGTTATTTTTCCAAGTATTTGTATGCATTTGCGTGTATGTGTATACTACGGCAAGTGTGTGAATATAGAGTTTCTTGGAAAACAAATTATGAGTTTTAAGTCTTATTTCAAACAAAATTTTTTACTTTTCAATAAAAGTAATTTTAGAAACATTTATGCATAAAATCTCTGAAAGTTTACTTCGTTAAAAGCATTTCTGCAAACATTTGTGCATACTTGATTGGCCATGATAGCATAAATTTTATGTAAATCAAAGACTTAAGTGAATAATTTCATTTTACGTGATTATTTTTATTGAGAAAGAAATTTCCATTTTTTTTATTTATAACATTTCGGACCTAGTTCTTAATGAGATTTGTTTATTTATTAATTTCCTATTGTATTTTTAAAAGCTTCATATTATTTTAGTATTGTAAAGTAGTTTAAAAAGGTAAGCTTTGGACTATCTTTGGTCAGAAACTGAGGGTCATTATCAAAAAGCGAGGAAAATCGGCAATCAAAAGAATCAATAACGGCATAGTCCTTTATTTTCCTTCTAAAAGAGCAAGACCTGATAGGAATTATGTACAACGCATGTTGAGGACAGCCTTACTAATTGACGCGAAACACAATATGAGTCTAAAAATCGGTGGTTACAAGGAATAACAATTGAACTTGCTTTTCTATGTTTGAAATAATTTTTTAAATTTAACTAGAGAACTTAAGTTATGAGCTTAGGTTAAGCAACTTATCTGTAATAGGTTCCGAGGAAAGAGCACGTCGGGACTATTTTTTTTTTTTTTTTTTTGTTAGACACAATAAGAGCAGAAATAAGTCAACCAATGTTATTAGATTGACACCACATTCCAATGTCAATTTTCTTCTTCTTCCCCTTATTCTTCTTCCCTTTCTTCATTGGGGGGCCCACTTCCGCTTCTATATATTCCTATAGATGCACTGCTTCAAAGCCTAAATTTACGAATTTTCAAAAATATCTCCTGCACATATGTACATCCGCCTTGACTTCAAAAGTTCATCATACGCCTGGTTGAACGGCAATTTAATTAAATGACAAATTAAACTTTGAAAGCTCTCAACGATAATTGTAGAAAATACTTTTCGCTTCACGCCTGCTTACTTCGTCTTAACAAGTTTGTCCGCATACTTTTCGGGTTAAAAATCAAAGAAACTGTCGATATAACAACGTAGACGAATTGCCTTAGAATTGGAAGAAGTCTCCGCTAGAGCAATGTGAAAGAAAAAACAAACAATTCAGGAAATGAAAAGTTCAAAAGTCAACCAAATGGCGTGAGCTGAAGCACACGCGTACACACACCTACTCGCATTTACTTAAGTGCATACATACATATACAATATTATGCACATGTATTCAGAGAAAAACTATAAACGCAAATTTCTATGCAAACACTATTCATTCACGTGTTAGTTGCTCGCTCCAGCAACTGCTGCCGTGCAATCACCCAATTTGCTGTGGATGCATCGTCATTGCTGCAATGCCGCCGCCATTTCAACACTGGAAGTAATTAAATCGCGACGGCAATGATGCTGCTGTTGTTGTTGTTGATGCAAGGCTTTTGCCATGCAATCATTTGTCAATGTAATTATTTATGTAACACTCACTAAGCACAATCTTACAAATACACAGTCGCACATGCAGTCGCACATATGTACATAGATGTACATAACAGAACTAAAAACAACTTGTGGGGATAAAAAGCAAAATAAAGGGATAAAAAAATTTTAAATTGGCATGTGCTCAAATGTCGTGTGGCAATCATTTCAAAATAATATTTGTTTTTGGTTTGACATTCATAGAAGCGACGCTTAAAGTCAGCTTCTAATTAAATGTAATGAAATTGTGTCACTGAGAATCTGCAACTCAGCCTCAAGGTATTAATAACGTTTCACTTTACAAAGAATCATGTACACACTGTTCCCAAAATTTCTGTTCTTTGTTCTTTATCAATGCACTCATTCACAAAAAATTTCATTTACACATTTGTTAACTTTGTTTCACTTATTTTATTTTTTTGTTTTTTATTTCATTTTTCATTTTTTTAAATAATTTTATTTTACTCTATTTTGTGTTAATTCATTTTAGTTTATTATATTTTATTTTATTTTATTTTATTTTATTTTATTTTATTTTATTTTATTTTATTTTATTTTATTTTATTTTATTTTATTTTATTATATTTTATCTTATTTTTTTTTATTTTTTTTTTACGTTATTTTATAATAATTTATTTTTTTTGTTAATTTTTATTTTTATTTTAATACATTTTATTAAATTTTTTAATAAATTAAATTCATTTTATTTTATTTGGCTTAAAATTATTCTGTAATGGCACACTCTCACATTTAGTATTGTAATTCACATGTATACGTGTATATACATATGAATAAAATGTATTTATTTTATTATTTTTTTTTATTTTTGATAATCTCTCACAAACTTTTTTAATTTGTTGTTGATCTTCTCACTCTTTCTTCTTTCAATTCGTTCTTTTACTTCTTATTATTCTTTATTTCAAACGTTCCGCTTTGCTTTACCTTTACACTTTGTATTAAACACTTTTTGTTGTTGTAATGTTTTCTTTTGTTTTACTACTTATTTTCTTTTTTTAGACGTTTGTCCGCTACATGCAACCGCTCGCGTCGAGATCGTGAACGTTAGTAATTTCTGTTGGGCAGCTGCATGGACCACGAGGTGTCCAATCAAAACACAAAACGAAGAAAGCACGTGCAATGACGGAGATGGCGTAGGAACTACATGATGCCGTGATGGGTGGTGATGGAAGGAGTTTTAGCGGCACTGTTGTGAATATTATAACAGTTACGTATGTGGGTTGAAAATTTCCAAGCTATTATCGTGGTGACTTACGCTTTATTGTGTGTGTGTTTGTATATGTGTGCAGCTCAGCGTTAGACGCATATACAAAAGTGGTTAACAATATAGTGAGTTAACAGCGTTAGAAGAGTCTCGTATTTAATTTCAGTCAAGAGTTTTGAAAGGCTTCATGAGACTGGCTTTTCCTTGGCGTATTTGCTCTACAATGAAGACTTTTGGTTTACATTCTCAAATATAAACGATACTTTCGGCAGCTTTTCACTGAGAACAAGTCATTAATCCACCTTCGTACTTCTATAATTATGAAGCCTTTCTAAGTGGGAAAATGGCCACCAACTACTCTCTTAGAGACATTGATTTTTAAGCGGCCCTATCCTGAGTTAGAGCAACTGGCAGCAGAAAGTGATATCTCTAAATTAGCCAAAACAAATTGGAATGATTGAATAAAGCGGTTATCTGAAGCCAATTTAGCACACTCTGCTATTGGACTCAATCGAGTGCGAGGAAAAGAGAACAAAAATCGTGGATAAACGACACCGACAAACACAATCATTCCAATCCCTTCTTTTTAAACGTTTAACTGCTCAATGTTTTAATTCTAGCATCAGGGCTATCCGATAATGTTAAGTTTTAATCTTTGAAGGAACTACTTGTCAACGAAATCTGTGGTTCATGTCTTATAACAACCTACCCTGGAATTTAGAGCTCCATTTAAACTCGTATATGATATAACGCTAGAGTAGATATGGGCGATATTTTCGGTATAACAGTCGAGCTTAGTATCCAGCAGAGAAAAAGGTAATAAATTCGTTCACTTTATTTAAATTACGGAATCTACATTTTGACGGATCCAGTTGACGTAGTGCGAAACTTTTGTATATACGCCTGGATATGGATAAATGGCACAAGGTTTAATACTCCACGACACAATACCCAATTGAATGCTCCCCTGGTAGAGCAAAGGACCGCCTGAATCGCCATTACATTGTCCTTTGCCGCCCTCGTCTACGCCACCGCAAAGATGATCGGTTGTTGTACGTCCTTCATGGCGACTAGTGCACTCTTCATCCGAGTAGATTTTCAAATTGACCTCCTGTAGTACCTTCTGAACTGGACCGCCAGTCTGAAAATGAAAATGCATTTAATAAAATACTCATAAAGCCAGACTGAAGGTCAACACACCTCATTACGGCCCCAACCAGCCAACACACCGGGCGCACCCTCTGACACTTGTGGTATCTCGAAATTCGGTTCGGGTAAAGTAACCGGCGCAATGGTCTTGTAATTATATACCAACTGACCAAACAATTCCAACAGTGCAATATCATTGGCGTATGAGTCTGCCGGTCTGTAATACTCGTGTATTATAATGCGCTTCACTTTCGCCACATTGGTACTATTTGGATCCGTTTCCGTCGAGGCGTATTGTAAGCTAATTCTACTAGTCGACGCGCCGGAGACACAATGCGCAGCCGTGAGGATCCAACGGGGTGCAATAATGCTTGAACCGCACGAATGTGAGCCCGTCGAGCCGCGCAAGGAGACCTTTACCGGTACAATAAATAAATTTAAGAAATTAAAAACAGTTGCTATAACTCGATATATTACTCACAATGAAGGGAAATTTTCCTACATCGGAATCAGTGCCATTGACCACGCGCCCTTCTGGATAGCAAGCAACGGCGCCCAAAAGCGCTGCTAATATAACGGTAAACCGTGTCAACATTTTGAGTGTTAATAAGACGAGCACTTCTTTAGAATTGCATTATAAAATTTTCTAAATTTTTAACAAATTCACTGGGTTTTAGTCATACGCTTAGTGCTAAACTTAATCTAATCGGATAATTAGGTAAATTGGATTATTTTTATGAGCATAATTGCAGATAAGTCTGAAACAAAAATTTTTATGCTCCTATGAGTGAGCACATTTTTGATGCAAATTTTTTGATGTACTGAACTATGTTAATTACAGTTTTGAATGTATAAGTAATGATCGTTAGATGCTCAATCAAAAAGTGATTATTTATAAAAACGATAAGGCGCGGAGTGTCGCGCAGATAAAAAGACTAGGAATAACACACTCTGATAAGGCAAGGTGTAGGGAAAGTTGCTTTTTTTGTCGATATTATGATTATTATATAAAACAAGTTTAGTTGAGCATCTCAAAGAAATTGAGACAGCGCATTTATGTATAAACCTCAAGATACAAAAAAAATTAACAAAAATGCTGTATTGACAAATCAAGGCCTGCATTCCTCATATAAGACTATGAAGCAAAATGGAAATGGAATGGTGGACCACGCTTGTTACTGGATAGCTATTTTTCTTTTTTGGAAGTCTCATTTCCTGCGGAACAGACCTTATAACAATTTTCAGTCAAACAATAGTATGATACTTTAGAATAAAAGCTAAGCGGGGGTATCAAATTTTTGATGCCTTCTTCGAAGTAATTTTCCGACAATCCCTTCATCCACTTCGCCACCAGCTCCTTTATCTCCGCGTCTTTTGTAAACCTTTTTCCACACATATGTAGATGCATGGAGGTAAAGAAATGTTAATCGGAAGGTGCTGGCATCCTATTTAAACGTGGCGATCAGTTATTTCATGACGTTGACCGCGTGTGGTCTAGCATTGTTGCAAAAGAGGCAGGCTTTTTATGCCAGCATAACTCTCCTCAATTTATCGCCATATTTAGTTTTAACCTCATTGTAAATCTTCGTCTTTCCCATCCTTTGTTCACGAATCATGTTTCGTGTTGACGGTTCTCAACGTACTGGTAACAAGACGAAAAGGTTAGAAATCTGGCTGCGTGTTGTCAACATAAGGAAATTGTAATACCTCCGTACGAGAGCCTCAGTACAGTTGCTTTCTGAGCGTGCCTCGTATTAAAGTTGATAGAACTCAAATAAATCGTTCGTAGAACACAAAAAATTCAGTAATTTGCTGATGATTGACTATTGTGTAGTGTACCTAGTGCGATCGGACTATACTAGATAAAGATAGAGAGAAGATATTTTGAATACTAAAAAATATAATGGGAAAAGTGTTTATCACTTAACTTAGTAGTGTTTGGGGACTATTCTTCAATTTATCTCCCCTCGGCAGAGGATATCAACCCCTTCGAGTGTATTTCGGTCATGAAATAAAGGCTCCTCAAAAAAAAAATTTGGAGAAGAAGCTCGGCCGAAAATCGCTTCAGCGGTTACAAGGCGCCAATCATTCATAAAGTTGTTTGTAAAAGATGCTTCACGGTGTGGAAGGGCGATTGTCGAAATAATAGAAATCGACAAGTTTGGCACTCTTGCGAGCGCTCTTTCGATTGTCAAGGAACTAATCATTGTGTAAAAAAATAGTTTCTGTTGAAAAGTGCTGGCTACACAAAAAAGTTCGAGGGTCACATAATATACGGCAAAAAGTCTCATGGAACGAATTTCCACCTCCAAATCGCTGCTAAATAATAACAAAATATTTTTTTATTTGAGCCGTAAGCCCTGGCTGCCAGAGCTTCTTTCTCTGTAAAATAATAATACAAATAAGTTTGCATTATTATTTTTCATATTTAATAAATAAATAAATAATAACAAAATTTACCCATTTCTGAAGAAAATGGAAATGGCTGTGTTCGCAGGACAGTGAGCAGGCTTCATGCTAGCATTGACGGCGACACTTTTAATTCGGTCTTGTACTGTCATCAATTGAGGACAACGCAATACCACACACATCGATGGTGCATCGTCAAAACCTTCGAACGTTTGGTTTGTAGGTTCTTATGGATCCACCGGTCTGAACTTTGAAACAAGTGATTATAATCTGTTACCATTTAGTTCGAATAATATGGCTGGTGGAAAATTGGCCTCAAGAGAAGATTGTGAGAATCGATTTTACTAACTTCCATGAGAGAGATATAATGATATTACCTTCAAAATGGCAAATGTAACATAACGGTGCATATTTGACGAAAAACTTTGATTAAATTTTATAACCAGAATCAGAACTATAAATTCGCAATATGCTTTTTCTTGTTTTTATCAGCGAATGAACAAACCTACCGTTCCGTTTATGCTTAAGTTGAGCCCATGATTATTTACCTCTCAATTCAATCACACTAAATAAGCTCGTGAAAAGTAATAATGCCTACAGTGGAGGCCAAAGTTATTTGCAGCCGTGTATATATATATATTTTTTGTATATTCAAATCATAAATTATTAAGTTCAATTAAGTAGTAAAGCAATTAGATTGAATTTGTTAATACCAAGCAAGTACAGTGTGAGCAAAAAGTAAGGTGATTTTTTTTTTTTTTTTTGTAAAATTAAAAATCTTTATTTATTCTTCTACATCGATTTCGTAGCCTTCAAAATAGTCCCCTGCCGATACAATGTACTAATGCTGGGACATGGCATGGTGCTAAGTCCGGCGAATACGGTGGTTGGGAATCGATATTCGTGGAATTTTTAGCGAAATGGTCACGAAGAATGAGTGCTGTGTGCATTACCGTAATGCAAAAACCACGAAGGCACTTTTAGTCGTTTAGTAAACTCAAGCGTAACTAAAATACCAATGATGACATTTACATGAAATTTGGCTATAAACATTAAAAAAAATTAACCTATCGCCATATTTAGTTTTAACCTCATTGTAAATCTTCGTCTTTCCCATCCTTTGTTCACGAATCATGTTTCGTGTTGACGGTTCTCAACGTACTGGTAACAAGACGAAAAGGTTAGAAATCTGGCTGCGTGTTGTCAACATAAGGAAATTGTAATACCTCCGTACGAGAGCCTCAGTACAGTTGCTTTCTGAGCGTGCCTCGTATTAAAGTTGATAGAACTCAAATAAATCGTTCGTAGAACACAAAAAATTCAGTAATTTGCTGATGATTGACTATTGTGTAGTGTACCTAGTGCGATCGGACTATACTAGATAAAGATAGAGAGAAGATATTTTGAATACTAAAAAATATAATGGGAAAAGTGATGGAAGGAGTTTTAGCGGCACTGTTGTGAATATTATAACAGTTACGTATGTGGGTTGAAAATTTCCAAGCTATTATCGTGGTGACTTACGCTTTATTGTGTGTGTGTTTGTATATGTGTGCAGCTCAGCGTTAGACGCATATACAAAAGTGGTTAACAATATAGTGAGTTAACAGCGTTAGAAGAGTCTCGTATTTAATTTCAGTCAAGAGTTTTGAAAGGCTTCATGAGACTGGCTTTTCCTTGGCGTATTTGCTCTACAATGAAGACTTTTGGTTTACATTCTCAAATATAAACGATACTTTCGGCAGCTTTTCACTGAGAACAAGTCATTAATCCACCTTCGTACTTCTATAATTATGAAGCCTTTCTAAGTGGGAAAATGGCCACCAACTACTCTCTTAGAGACATTGATTTTTAAGCAGCCCTAACCTGAGTTAGAGCAACTCGCAGCAGAAAGTGATATCTCTAAATTAGCCAAAACAAATTGGAATGATTGAATAAAGCGGTTATCTGAAGCCAATTTAGCACACTCTGCTATTGGACTCAATCGAGTGCGAGGAAAAGAGAACAAAAATCGTGGATAAACGACACCGACAAACACAATCATTCCAATCCCTTCTTTTTAAACGTTTAACTGCTCAATGTTTTAATTCTAGCATCAGGGCTATCCGATAATGTTAAGTTTTAATCTTTGAAGGAACTACTTGTCAACGAAATCTGTGGTTCATGTCTTATAACAACCTACCCTGGAATTTAGAGCTCCATTTAAACTCGTATATGATATAACGCTAGAGTAGATATGGGCGATATTTTCGGTATAACAGTCGAGCTTAGTATCCAGCAGAGAAAAAGGTAATAAATTCGTTCACTTTATTTAAATTACGGAATCTACATTTTGACGGATCCAGTTGACGTAGTGCGAAACTTTTGTATATACGCCTGGATATGGATAAATGGCACAAGGTTTAATACTCCACGACACAATACCCAATTGAATGCTCCCCTGGTAGAGCAAAGGACCGCCTGAATCGCCATTACATTGTCCTTTGCCGCCCTCGTCTACGCCACCGCAAAGATGATCGGTTGTTGTACGTCCTTCATGGCGACTAGTGCACTCTTCATCCGAGTAGATTTTCAAATTGACCTCCTGTAGTACCTTCTGAACTGGACCGCCAGTCTGAAAATGAAAATGCATTTAATAAAATACTCATAAAGCCAGACTGAAGGTCAACACACCTCATTACGGCCCCAACCAGCCAACACACCGGGCGCACCCTCTGACACTTGTGGTATCTCGAAATTCGGTTCGGGTAAAGTAACCGGCGCAATGGTCTTGTAATTATATACCAACTGACCAAACAATTCCAACAGTGCAATATCATTGGCGTATGAGTCTGCCGGTCTGTAATACTCGTGTATTATAATGCGCTTCACTTTCGCCACATTGGTACTATTTGGATCCGTTTCCGTCGAGGCGTATTGTAAGCTAATTCTACTAGTCGACGCGCCGGAGACACAATGCGCAGCCGTGAGGATCCAACGGGGTGCAATAATGCTTGAACCGCACGAATGTGAGCCCGTCGAGCCGCGCAAGGAGACCTTTACCGGTACAATAAATAAATTTAAGAAATTAAAAACAGTTGCTATAACTCGATATATTACTCACAATGAAGGGAAATTTTCCTACATCGGAATCAGTGCCATTGACCACGCGCCCTTCTGGATAGCAAGCAACGGCGCCCAAAAGCGCTGCTAATATAACGGTAAACCGTGTCAACATTTTGAGTGTTAATAAGACGAGCACTTCTTTAGAATTGCATTATAAAATTTTCTAAATTTTTAACAAATTCACTGGGTTTTAGTCATACGCTTAGTGCTAAACTTAATCTAATCGGATAATTAGGTAAATTGGATTATTTTTATGAGCATAATTGCAGATAAGTTTGGAACAAAAATTTTTATGCTCCTATGAGTGAGCACATTTTTGATGCAAATTTTTTGATGTACTGAACTATGTTAATTACAGTTTTGAATGTATAAGTAATGATCGTTAGATGCTCAATCAAAAAGTGATTATTTATAAAAACGATAAGGCGCGGAGTGTCGCGCAGATAAAAAGACTAGGAATAACACACTCTGATAAGGCAAGGTGTAGGGAAAGTTGCTTTTTTTGTCGATATTATGATTATTATATAAAACAAGTTTAGTTGAGCATCTCAAAGAAATTGAGACAGCGCATTTATGTATAAACCTCAAGATACAAAAAAAATTAACAAAAATGCTGTATTGACAAATCAAGGCCTGCATTCCTCATATAAGACTATGAAGCAAAATGGAAATGGAATGGTGGACCACGCTTGTTACTGGATAGCTATTTTTCTTTTTTGGAAGTCTCATTTCCTGCGGAACAGACCTTATAACAATTTTCAGTCAAACAATAGTATGATACTTTAGAATAAAAGCTAAGCGGGGGTATCAAATTTTTGATGCCTTCTTCGAAGTAATTTTCCGACAATCCCTTCATCCACTTCGCCACCAGCTCCTTTATCTCCGCGTCTTTTGTAAACCTTTTTCCACACATATGTAGATGCATGGAGGTAAAGAAATGTTAATCGGAAGGTGCTGGCATCCTATTTAAACGTGGCGATCAGTTATTTCATGACGTTGACCGCGTGTGGTCTAGCATTGTTGCAAAAGAGGCAGGCTTTTTATGCCAGCATAACTCTCCTCAATTTATCGCCATATTTAGTTTTAACCTCATTGTAAATCTTCGTCTTTCCCATCCTTTGTTCACGAATCATGTTTCGTGTTGACGGTTCTCAACGTACTGGTAACAAGACGAAAAGGTTAGAAATCTGGCTGCGTGTTGTCAACATAAGGAAATTGTAATACCTCCGTACGAGAGCCTCAGTACAGTTGCTTTCTGAGCGTGCCTCGTATTAAAGTTGATAGAACTCAAATAAATCGTTCGTAGAACACAAAAAATTCAGTATATTGCTGATGATTGATTATTGTGTAGTGTACCTAGTGCGATCTGACTATACTAGATAAAGATAGAGAGAAGATATTTTGAATACTAAAAAATATAATGGGAAAAGTGTTTATCACTTAACTTAGTAGTGTTTGGGGACTATTCTTCAATTTATCTCCCCTCGGCAGAGGATATCAACCCCTTCGAGTGTATTTCGGTCATGAAATAAAGGCTCCTCAAAAAAAAAATTTGGAGAAGAAGCTCGGCCGAAAATCGCTTCAGCGGTTACAAGGCGCCAATCATTCATAAAGTTGTTTGTAAAAGATGCTTCACGGTGTGGAAGGGCGATTGTCGAAATAATAGAAATCGACAAGTTTGGCACTCTTGCGAGCGCTCTTTCGATTGTCAAGGAACTAATCATTGTGTAAAAAAATAGTTTCTGTTGAAAAGTGCTGGCTACACAAAAAAGTTCGAGGGTCACATAATATACGGCAAAAAGTCTCATGGAACGAATTTCCACCTCCAAATCGCTGCTAAATAATAACAAAATATTTTTTTATTTGAGCCGTAAGCCCTGGCTGCCAGAGCTTCTTTCTCTGTAAAATAATAATACAAATAAGTTTGCATTATTATTTTTCATATTTAATAAATAAATAAATAATAACAAAATTTACCCATTTCTGAAGAAAATGGAAATGGCTGTGTTCGCAGGACAGTGAGCAGGCTTCATGCTAGCATTGACGGCGACACTTTTAATTCGGTCTTGTACTGTCATCAATTGAGGACAACGCAATACCACACACATCGATGGTGCATCGTCAAAACCTTCGAACGTTTGGTTTGTAGGTTCTTATGGATCCACCGGTCTGAACTTTGAAACAAGTGATTATAATCTGTTACCATTTAGTTCGAATAATATGGCTGGTGGAAAATTGGCCTCAAGAGAAGATTGTGAGAATCGATTTTACTAACTTCCATGAGAGAGATATAATGATATTACCTTCAAAATGGCAAATGTAACATAACGGTGCATATTTGACGAAAAACTTTGATTAAATTTTATAACCAGAATCAGAACTATAAATTCGCAATATGCTTTTTCTTGTTTTTATCAGCGAATGAACAAACCTACCGTTCCGTTTATGCTTAAGTTGAGCCCATGATTATTTACCTCTCAATTCAATCACACTAAATAAGCTCGTGAAAAGTAATAATGCCTACAGTGGAGGCCAAAGTTATTTGCAGCCGTGTATATATATATATTTTTTGTATATTCAAATCATAAATTATTAAGTTCAATTAAGTAGTAAAGCAATTAGATTGAATTTGTTAATACCAAGCAAGTACAGTGTGAGCAAAAAGTAAGGTGATTTTTTTTTTTTTTTTGTAAAATTAAAAATCTTTATTTATTCTTCTACATCGATTTCGTAGCCTTCAAAATAGTCCCCTGCCGATACAATGTACTAATGCTGGGACATGGCATGGTGCTAAGTCCGGCGAATACGGTGGTTGGGAATCGATATTCGTGGAATTTTTAGCGAAATGGTCACGAAGAATGAGTGCTGTGTGCATTACCGTAATGCAAAAACCACGAAGGCACTTTTAGTCGTTTAGTAAACTCAAGCGTAACTAAAATACCAATGATGACATTTACATGAAATTTGGCTATAAACATTAAAAAAAATTAACCTGAAATATTTAGCGCGCGATGCTCAAATTAAAAAGCCACCTTACTTTTTGCTCATAGTGTACTTTATGCCTATGTATTCCTAATTTCATTTATTTTATATGACTTCTCTACATATTTAAAAAAAAAAAAGAAAATACAAATAAATCTTACTATAAAAGCAAATATCACGGTTAAACATTCTAAAATAAAATAATTTCCTTGAATCGTATATAAATTGTAACATTTAATTAAGAGAGCATTTCAATTTAGCGCAGTATAACTTACTTTACTTTTACTTACTTACTAACAGTATAACTAAAAAACATTAAATAAAATTGTGAAATGAAATTTTAAATCCATATTTCTCTTATTTTTCAAATAACTTTAAACAACTGCATCAACATGCTGCCGTATCCAGCCAACAAAATGCGAAACTTTAGTGAAAACACCTGGATAATACTTTATGCCGCAGGGCTTAATACTCCACGACACGATGCCCAATTGTATGGAACCCTTGTAGAGCAGTGGACCACCAGAATCACCGGTGCACTGCCCCTTGCCACCCTCATCGACGCCGGCGCACAAGTGATTGGCATTCGTATCGCCATCATGACGTGTACTACACTCGCTATCGGAGAATATTTTCAAGGTGACCTCTTGCAGCGTTGCCATATAGACCCCACCAGTCTGGAGCGTTAATATAAATGAATTAAAAAAAACTTGCTATAGTTCTTGTCAACACATGTATGTACGAGTATATGAAAAATTATCATTTACCGCATTTAAACCCCAACCGAGCAGCACACCCACGGCACCAAGCTCCGTTTGCGGCACTTCAAAATTTGCATCTGGCAATGCCACCGGTGCAATGCGTATATAATCATATACCAACGCGTTTTGTAATTCCACCAATGCAATGTCGTTGATATACGCGCCGCTAGGCTTGTAGTTCTCATGTATAACAAATCGTTTCACTTGCGCTAAGTGTGCACCACGTCGGTCAATAATTGACGCTGCGAATTGTATGCTGACTTGGCTCGGTGTGCGCCCGTTGACGCAGTGAGCGGCGGTGAGTATCCAACGAGGCGCAATGATACTTGCGCCACACGAGTGCGCGCCACTTGCTGTGCGCAGCGAAACCTTTTTGTTTTAGCGGCGTGGAAACAAATAATTATTTCAACATTGTTGTTTTTTGGGTGTTTTTTAGGCATGTGGTTTTCAAGAAGAAATAAACCGCATATAACTTCATGTTATGGTCAAGAACCTAGCTTTAATCTATTTTTTTATTATAAAGGTTTGCCATTAGAAGAATGATTTCGAACAAGTTATCGGCGCGGCTGGCTCTAATTGATTCCCGCCGAGGAGCCTAATTTTCGACCACTTTTTGCAGAAATTGGAACCGTAGGCCAAATATTACTCTCCAAAGCCTCACTCGTCTCGAGTTCATCTGCGTAGACAAGCGATTTCACATAAAATTGGTGACTTTTTATGATATAATAGCGTCACCACCAAATGTGAGCTTCATCGCTGAAGAAAAATTTCTTGTGAAAATCGACAAGGGTTGCCATTCTTCCGAAAAATCGTTGCTTGGAATGGCGGCTGGACTTATTCGGCTTTTCTTCGATACCCTGCCCCTCAGCTGTCTCTGAGGATGCTCATCATCCACTCGAATAAACGTAGTGCAATACCGAGCCATAGTTACACGTATTGCCAACTTTTCTGTGCCGAATATTGGACGCAGCGCGTGATGCGTCGTTTTGGCAATAAATTTGCACGATTTGTAAATGTTGCGCCGTTGCAAGTCTGTTTAGTATGTAATTGCAAATCAAACAGCTATCAAAAAAAGCAACTCTGAAAAAAGTATTGCCTCGTTGAAAACCACACGTCTAAAAACACCCTTTATTTGTTTCAAAAATTTAAGTATATATAACAAATAATATTTAAAAGAATTATTTAACGCACCATAAATGGATATTTTCGTATTGCAGTCGCTGTTCCATTGACGACACGACCCTCGGGATAACACAAAACCGTGCCCAGCATGGCAGCGAAAGCAATTGCATAACTAGTCAACATTATGTCTTCATTGAGTTTATATATATAAATGTGTTTTTATATATATTATTATTTTATTTTATTTTTAATTTTTTTTTTTTTTTTTTTGAAAATTTTTTCTAATTTTTCTTTACTGTTACAGATCACTTTTAGCCCTTACACCTGCACTGAAAGTCCAATTTCAATCGATTGACTGTCTCCAATGATTGCAATGATTTTTTATATAAACAACACAGAACCTACTTCTTATCTTGAACACCTCGAAAAAGGACCATATCTGTGCAAGAATTTATTATTATTGAAAACAAATATTTTTTAAATGTCATACATATAAAAAATTGAGTTTAATTTATATTGAATTAGGCATAGCAATATTTTAGTTTCAAGTACTGATTAGATACTGATTTAACAAAATATTTATAAAAAAATAAATTATGCTAAAATAGTCACAAACAGACGAGAGTGTTGAAATTCCGCATGTCTTTAGTCATCTTGTTTCCGTTAAAATCAATAATGACTCAACCGTATTGTTAATATTTGAAAATAAAAATAAAGGTGTTTTTTTTAGACGTATGGTTTTCAATGAGGGAATAACTTTCTCGATGTTAGTATTTCCGACAGCTGTCACTTGATTTATACCGAGTTGTTGAAGTGGACGACCTTTGGTTCCAACAAGACGGCGCAATACAGCCAAAGAAACAATCAGTTTATTGAAGGGACCTTTTTGTGGGCGCGCTATCTCGCGTCGTGGTGCTGGACTATATTTCGTGGGGTTGAATGAAGCTCTACGGAGCTAAGTCTGAGACAATTGACGTCTTGGAAGAGAATATTCGGCGCTTTTTGCTGGCATACGGCACCAAAATCTTTAAAATAAAGCCAAATCCTTATCATAAAATTTTATTGTTTCATGTTAAAAATCATGTGCTTAAAAAAACACCCTTTAAATCAAATATCAAAATACAGTATTATTTATCAATGATACTATTTTCATTTCCGCACTTCCGCTATGATTGGTAGCAAATATTTCAGGGAACAAAGTACACATCGGCTTAAAGGTAACTAATATAATATTATGCTGGCGACCGCAAGAGGGGAGTGGTTCGGAAGGTCAAGCTTCGCGCCTTGTTCCGACCAACATCCAAAATTATAAATAATTTTTCTATTTGCTGTCTCCCATCGGCCGCAATGTCACAGGTAGAGAGTGATTGTCACCCTGACGATATATCCTTAGCAGGCTATACCGGACCTAGCAAGCTCGCCAGCTTTCGTAATAGTGGAAATTGGCAAAATAAACTTAGAAGTGCTGAAAGAGGAGGCAAATTGTTAAGAAAACATCAGGATGTACTTTTTCAGTAACTACAGATCAAAGAACTCTCAACATTGCTTGAGTACAGCTCTATAGTTAAGGACTGAAGATACCAACTTAGGCATTCTTAGTTGTACGGTTTGGCTAAAAAATCACAAATCATTCAAAGTTCTATGAATATTCGAGAGAAAGGAAGTAAGAAAAGGTGAAACCCACATTCTGCTGCAGACAGCATAAACAAATTTTAGACTAATTTTTTTTAAACTTTACTATTTAATACTTTAGCTATTTTTTATTTCAACAAACCAATCAAAGTTGTTTTTAAATACATGAGTCACAGTTCTCTTTAATCCAGTCGATGTAATGCGAAACCTTGGTATATACACCTGGATATGGTGGCCGAGTGCATGGTTTGACACTCCAAGAGACAATGCCCAATTGAATATGTCCTTCGTAGAGTAGAGGACCACCGGAATCACCGCTGCATTGACCCTTCCATCCTTCATCCACACCTCCACAAATATTGTGAACAGTTGTGCCGCCCTCGTGTCGTGAGATGCACTCCTCATCTGAGTAGATCTTTAGACCAACTTCTTGCAAAGTAGTTTGAATTCTGCCACCAGTCTAAAAAGATCCCAACATTGTAAGTGAAAAAGTTACAAGTTCTCCGTTAAACACAAAAGTATCAAAATTCAGACTTACAGCATTCAAGCCCCAACCGACCAACACACCGGGCACACCTTCATCCACCTGCGGGATCTCAAAGTTCTGTGCAGGCAATGTAACAGGACCAATTGTTTTGTAGTTGAACACTAGCTGTCCAGCCAACTCCAACAAGGCAATATCATCGGTGATTTCTACGTTCGAGTAGTTCTGGTGCACAATAATACGTTTCACCTTAGCCACATTGGAGCCCTGAGCACCAATCACAGTCGTGGCATATTGTACACTGATTCTGCTGGGCGATGCTACGTTTACAACACAATGTGCGGCGGTGAGTATCCAACGAGGCGCGATGATACTAGAGCCACATGAATGTGAGCCAGTTGAGCCGCGCAGGGACACCTTGAATTGGGAAAATATTATAGTTTAAGCTTCACTAAGTCTTACACATCGCATGCAAGGCAATGAGAAAATTGCAAGTTTACACACCGTAAATGGATATTTGTCAATGGTCGTCGATGTGCCATTGACCACACGACCTTCAGGAAAACAGTGTGTCGCGCCAACCAAAGCGAGCAGTACCAACGCGTAACCGGTCCACATAACGGCAGATGTATTATATACAATATTAAACTCGTTCAAAAGAAAAGACTGACCAACTTGGGCAATGCGTCGTCTTATATAACCTTTGGCTGGGCCATGTTTAAAGGATTATGATAAGAGGTCTGCTTTAATAATTCTCATAATAAATTTTGATTTATTTAAATTTTTGAAATGCGTGCGACTTTTATGCGCTGCGATAAGCCAAAGATAATTTAATTTAATCTAGCGGTTTTACCAAATGTTCGCGAAGCTCGCAATCGGTGTCAGAAAATCGATAAGATATGGAAGACAAAATGAATTATGGCTTCACTTAAGTGTTCGACCGCAAACAAAGCTCGAATATCGGTACACGGTTTTTTTCTGATAAGATTAAGAACTAAATCTTATCAGAAGTAATAATTTTAACAGCTGTCGCTGGTCGCAGTAATTTTTTTTTACAAGCCAAACTGGATATGACTTGACCTTGTGTGTTCGTTCATTGAAAAAAAAGGCTCATAATACTGGACCTGATCGAAGTGTTTGGCTCTCAGTAAGTATTTTGTTGGTTCTCTGCCCAATATATTACATGAGACTCAAGCCTATCCACCCCTCACCCATCACCGCTTCGTCCATTTGTAAGCCTCCTTCGATAGCGCCAAAAATAACTAAATCTACTTCAGCATATCTGAACAACACCGTAAGCCTCGTCAGATTTGTAAAGGACTCCTCCCAGCCATTCGTTACCAAACAAGAGTTTAAGCAATAAACCCTGAGAGCTTAAGAACTAAATATAGAAGGAGTACACTTCTTCATAAGCATGTCGATGTTCACAACACCCCCAATGTTAGATCTCTCATTCTCAGGATTATGAGTTTTCGAGGGAAGGATCTTACTGACTTTTATGGCCCTCTGTGCATAGCAAACGGCGTCACAGTACCAGATCCGCTGGCTGGACTATGTGTTGTGGAAGGATGAAAGCATGCTTTGAAAATATTCGATGACACTGATGAGTATATATCAAAGTACTATATATTATATGTGGCGGCCGCAATAGACGAGTGGGTAGCATTACGTATTCACATTCGGTTGGCCAGAATACGAGTCCTGCTTTTACAGATCATGCAAAATTATACAAAATTTATTTTCCTAAAAGCGGTCGCCTCTCGGCAGGGCATGTCATTCCGAGGCGGCTTAGAATAAACTGTAGGTCACCCCATTTGTTGGAAAAATATCAAGAAAATCGCTTCAACCGTTACAAAGGGTCAATTCTATAAAAATTATATATACATCGAATAGAATATCCTGGCAAGCCGAAAGGAAAGCTCTTGAAAACTCGATTACCATAAGGACATTTTAAGGGCAAATTATTTTTAAATCAGGCCACGAGTTGTCTGGGCTGCGCATATGATGATAAGTGCAATGGTCGTGCTATACATCGTCCGAAATCTTCAATGCTGGCATTCATAGGTAAAACACATGTAGCTGGATATGATAACGCCAGGTTGGCAACTTTCTTAGTTTCCATCAGTGGAACCACTGTTCTCTGCTTCACACACCGTAAATGGTAAGGACATGTTGAGTATTTTGGTGAGAAGACCTAATTCTGCTTGGAAAAGTAATTTCAGCAAAAGCACTATTATTCCATCGTACTTAACGGTGACCACATTAGCGGCTTCCGGTTTGAAATCCAGCAATGCGTTAATATTTCCGAATTTGCAATGCTTTGATTGCTCTTTTATGCCGAAGGATATTTAAATAGTGTTTTTTCTGCTAAACTAGCTGGAGCAATCTTTACCACAGAGTACTTTGGGGAATATTTTTGCGGTTACAACAACAACAACAGATAAGTTGTTTTTGGTAGGGTGGCGAAAGTAGCAAGGGAAACTGCAAGCGTACATCTAATAGCCACTTCTTTCGGAGAATCTTGTTGTTGTTGTTGTAGCTGCTCGTTTGAAAAATCCCAATCAATTATTTCACAAGACTTCTTTAATGGAAAAAAATATGCGAGAAAGCATTTTATGAATGAAAGGCTGAGTTTTTATGTAAGCATTTCTGAATTTAAAATTCAAATAACATTTTTTTTTTGTAAATATTACTTTAATAAAAGCATAAATATGTATTTATAATCTAGAAAATGTACATAAAAGGTTATGAGCAAAATTAAGCAGAAGCCATAAATTATAATTGTGTATTTATGTGAAAATCGCCGCGTGTGTTGCTGATACAGCGTATGGAATGTGTTGTAGAAATTGTTTTGCTGATGAGAAAACAAATGAAAATCTTATTTAATGTGAGGTATTTAATATTAATTAAGTCAAAATGAATGTAAATTTAAACTTTTAACGTTATTGTGTGTTAAACATATCACAAAGCATAGTGAAGAAAGTAGTAAAACATTGACAGCACACAAAAACTGCTTACAAATGAGATCGACAATTACAAACTAATACATACTAACAAACATACATAAATACTATATGTATGTAACTACGTAACCATTTAAGTTTTACATATTTTCAATGAATTATCTAATATAATTAATTATTTATATCTGAATGTGCTAGCGCATCATTTAATTGCTTTGCATTGTTATAAAAAAGATTTTTGAAAGATCTACTTTTATTTTTCTTCTCCACTACTGTTGAACAGCACATACTTATAAACAGTATCTATGTAGACATAAATATGTATGTGTATTATTGTATATTATTTATACATATAATAAATTTGTATAAAGCTACGAATAAAGCGTGAACACTATGCGTTGGTTGAATTTGATTTGATCAATATCAATTCGCTTGATTTAAATTGCATTGGCTAGTGTAACACGGCATATTTAAAAAAAAAAAGCTACATTCTATATTTCTGTATCTATTTAATACTATGTACTACTGTATAGAACAATGCCGCACCGATGTTAGTTTCTGTTCATCCACCATTTCTTTAGCAGACAGAATGCTTTTAATGCTTTCGGCTTCTTTCATCCAAATTTCCAGCTGATAGTTTATATACATAAAAAAATGTATTGAAAATTCTATTTAATATCTTTTTAATATATTCTTAAATATAAAATACATGCCTGTTGCAACAACAAATTTCTACGCTCGCCCTTTGGTTCATTATTAGCGAATGGCACCAACATGCCCAGGGCCGAAGTGTAAGCCTCCAGAGCAGCTTTGAATTTTCTCTCGTACAAATAGAGTTCACCTTGACGTCCGATTTCTAAAGCACTTTTTAATTGTGGACTCGAGTTGGAGAGCGCAACTAAGAGAAAGTGAAATATTTATTTACTCCCAATTGAATGACACCTTTTTTAAGGCGAAGATACTAACAAAGCTGCTTATAGCGCATATCTGGTTCCAACACTTCTATTATATCAGGCTGCGTTTGTTGTGCGGAATTTGGTGTGGAGGAGCTACTTGGTTGCTGCTCCTGTTGCTGGGTACATTGTTGAAGATGTTTTGGCAGCTCCTTCACTGCGGCTGCTTTATATTCAGCATCGATTAAAACATTTTTGATTTCTTCAGCGCGTTTGAGGTAGGTAAGGGCACGATTGCGCAATGCTAATCGCTTACTGGCATCGGCTTCCTCAGTAATTAACGGCACAAAGTATTGCAATGCGCTGCAATATAGATAATAAGCCTCTTTGTAATTTTGTTTTTCATCATATTCGACGGCTTTGGTGACGAGGTCTGACGCTTTTTGTAATGTCTGTGAAATAAAAATGAACAAAAGTACAGCATTAGCTACAAAGAAGACATATTAATTTAGACTTCTTCTTCAGAAACAAAGGTTTAAGAATAAGTAGTTCTTAACTCCATTTGGCGGCTAATATTTTTATTCCTGAGCAGAACTATTTACTAGTATAGCGGATCGGATTTTTTTTTTATTACTGAATCAAGCTCGATTATATTTACATAATATCAAATCAATCGCCTGAAAAAAAATCAAAGCAACTTACATGCTCCGTTGGTAAAGTTTTCAGATCGATAAATGGATGTGCGAAAAAGGAGTCAAATGAAATACGTTTGGCAGGATCGTGTTCCAGTAAACGGCAAAGTAGATCATGACACTCATTGCTTATGCTTGCATTTGCCGGTATTTTTATTTTCTCTGCATTCCGTATACGTTGCAAAAGTTCTTCGATGCTCTTCGAAGTGTATGGCGCTTTTCCAAAAAGACATTCATACAAAATCACGCCAATGCTCCACAAATCGGCCTTGGCATCATATTGATGTTTGCGCACTATTTCGGGCGCCATGTAGAGCGGCGAGCCTTTAAGCTGTTGATTGATTTCACCCAATTTCAAATGTTGCGCAAAACTACAAGAAATGCATATATAAATGAAGTAGAAATAAGCTATGAGAGAGCATACCCAAAATCCGCCACTTTTAATACCACATTGGAGTTACGTGTTAGCAGCAAATTTTGCGGTTTTAAATCAAAGTGGCAAATATCATTAGCGCGCATATACTGCACAGCTGCTGCCAATTGACGCAAGAAGAAACGACAAGTGGCTTCCGGCAATGATTTCTTGGAGCGTATGAAGGCCGATAGATTGCCAGCGTTGCAGAATTCCAACACAATATAAATCTTTCTGTTTAGAAAATTACCAACAAAAATAATTAGTAATATTATCCACATTATTTTAATAACAACTTCTATACTTGTCGTCCCAAAAAAAATCCTGTAGCGTCACAATATACTTGTGATTGAGTGAACGTAGGAGTCGGATCTCGGTTATAAGATTTTCTCGTGAACTGTCGGATAGCGTTGACATCTCCACAATCTTAATGGCATGAAAGCTCCGATCTTTCTTATGTCGTGCCTTATATACAGTTGAATAACTGCCAACTCCAAGCTTCTCCATCAGTTCGTAGTCGGTAATGCGGGGCAAGGTCATGTTGTATGTAACAAATTATAATAGCATATATTCGGAAATTTCAAGCTTCTGAGCACTTCACTTATTCTAACACATTAGCAAATCCATTTGTTGTGAACAATTTGTGAACATAAAAATATGCGCGAAGGAATAAAAACCAAAAAATTGAAATGAAGGAATCGAATGTTGTTTATGTAGTCAGCTGTTGAAAAACGATGCCACTGGGTGTAAAAACGAATTAGTACCAAAGAACGTATTTGAATAAGAAGTGGAAAAGAGCGTATATGAATTCATATATGTTCTGTGGTGGTATGGTACAGTCTTTACGGTATTTGGTTGTTTGCTCATACGGTCTTTGCTCCTCAAAAATTTTGTAATCGATTATTCACTCAATAACGATAGAAAAAATAATTTGACAAGTTGTCAAAATAAAAATTATTCACATTTAAAGAAGCGCATTTTACATTATTATTATTGTTTTTTATTGGTCTTCTTATTTCACGCATAATATATTGGTAAATTTATATGATTTCAAAATATAGTAAAAAATAAGTAAAAAAACATTTAGCTGCAAATTGTGTTTAAAACAAATGATACACTATCAACAAATATTCAGTGTTTGTTTAGTTGACAACTTGCCACAAATTCGGGGTGACGCCCAACCTTAATCACCAAACAATAATTAATATCCAAGAAATCTGTTGTTAACTCTTTTACTAACAAAGTGCTTCTATTCTATTTATAGCCATACTTTTTCATAAACACCCATTTTTTTTTAAAGAGGAACGTAAGTTCAGCATTGTTAAGGCTTCACTATGAATTATGGCCGTAAGACTCCGTCCACGTACCGTTCCAACCATTCGGTTTATTCGCACACAACGGGCAGGTAAATCATAAAATTTAATCTGATTTTTTACATCTTTATAACAGATATTTTTGATTATAATCTTAGATCCTCGACGAATTTACATTCAGTCAAATCGCGCTCTATGCGCTCAGTGCGTGTACCTTGGTATCAACGGCCCATATTGAAGAACAACCAATACATTGATATACAGAAAAACTCAATGCTGATTGGCATATTTGCTATTGTAAGCTTATTGGTAGCAAAATTGCAATTTTGTTTATTTACTACTTGTTTATATCTAGTTCCTTGCACTATTCACCATTGGTACTTCAATCTTCGATATCTACTGCCTAGCAATGGCTGCACCAGGCTCAACCCATTATGGCTACTATATTATCTCCTACGAATTTGTTTATGTCGGCAATAAGCACGGTATGTAGGGTTTATTTCTTCTTATATTTCATATTAATTTGAGTTTTTATTGCAGTGCGCAACATGTTGATTGTATTCGCGCTATTCTCGCTTATACTGGGAATAGTTATTTTGTTTACAAGCATTTTACTCGTAATTGCTCTCAGAAAGGTATGAAAAGCCACTGCTTTAAGAACAGAAATAAAAAATGCTTTTGGCTACAAGCTCTACATCGTTTTTATATTACCAAATACTATTTGATTTACTTATTAATCATCTTATTTTCTACATTGTTCACACAATCTAATTTCTCATACATTTTTGTTTAACTTCACTTACTAACATACATACATATCTTCCAAGCTTCTTAAAAAAGGGAAGAAACGAAATCGCTTCGTTTTCATACCGGTACGATTAGTAACAAGTGTTTTCATATCGGGAGTTGGAAAATTGCATTAATGTTTCAAAGTAAATGGAAAAAGAGTAAAAGAATAATAGTTTTTGCCTTATCATGGAATTTTTCAAAGATAGAAATCCTAATTCAATTAAAATTATAATTTATTTGCATAAGTCTGCAACAAATGCATTAAGATTTTCAATTGTACATTCATTTTTTAAACCAATCAAGTCATCAATGCGTTGATAAATTAATGCTTTTTCCCCAACCTTGTTTCATATATACAACATTCTTCATAATTTGGTACTTTATTCTTTCATATGATTTTTTTCCAACAAATTTGCATATATATTTATATATATATATATTGTAATAAACAATTTTCCTTCCACAGGAGTATGAGCGAAAGATTCTGCCATGGTTAAATACGTTTGCTGTGTTTACTATATGGCGCTCGTTGGCCTTGATCTTCTTTGCCATTGTTAACGATCTGATCTTTGCCTATAATATTATTATGGTATTACTATGGAGCGTCGCTTTGGTAGTTTGTATATATGGCTGGTGTGTGGTGTACTCGTTATTCCTCGAGCTAACAAATTTGACGAAACTGGAAGATTTGGCACATTTAAGGGTACACAAATTTTTATTTTCAAATAATTTAATCGTTTGTACATAATAAACATTTTTGTTTTTCTCGACAGATGGGCACAATGGCTTCATTACATGCATCTGCTGCTAACTCCTTGGCTGGTTCACGTCCAACAACACCACACAGCACCGTGTCTACAATGCCGGTCGGCTAAAAATGGGCTTAACGATAAAAGTACATATTATAGACCTTTTTTTTAATTTTCTACAAAACATCTTGACTATATCAAAGCAAATGTATGCCGTCCATATATTTTAGAATTAATCATACTACATTTACTTATGCACTTACATAGGAGCTTTGAAGCACATTCCATATGTATTACTCGAATCTCTGCATTCCATATACATAATACTAATTATTATTAAATTTTTTATAAGCCAGAAGCTCGAATTGTTAAGTGTAATACAACTATAATTTAAACACTGTGCCTTAAAATTTCTACACATACATATCCTTTATGTACAATCGAAAGACAAAACAATGACAACTACTTTTTTTTATCTAGACATAATAATAATAGTTTTAACGCAATTATTGAATAATAAGTTTTAATTGTTAAATGATACACACAAATTTGTATATCTGCAATATGTGAAACCGTATCCCAAAGTATTGCTGGGAATTGATTTTAAAAATAGAACAGCACAATTTAAAACTTATAAATGTTTGGAAATTTTAAATTATATATCTATTGTGAAAATATCAAGAACCTACTTTTTATACAGTTGTCATATTAATAAAAGTGTTTATACAAAAAGAAACTCACTGATTACCCTATATTATAGATATGTATTTGACGCTTGACAGCTGCTAAAGGGATTTTCGGCAGAGCTCTTCTGTTGTTGTTGTTGTCGTTGTAGCGGTTCGCTAACCCTGCTTAGGCACAGGTTTGATCAGTCTAAGTCGCCGAGGTCATCTAGTGGTAGGTCCAGGAAACGAGCTGTTTCGACGGGGTTGGACCAAAGGGAGAGGGGGGTTAGATGAGTGGGTTTGAGGGGGCATGTGAAGAGGTGGTTAGTGTCGTGCGGAGACTCCACATGCAGGGCATACGTTGGGTATGCTGGGGTCTAGTCTGGATAGGTAGGAGTTTAACCTGCTACAATATCCAGACCTGAGCTCTTTTCCCCAACTTGTGGTGTGTGTCTTGATGTTTTTTTTTTCCAACAAATTGACCAAAATACATTTTGAACCGCCTACCGCATATATTTTATATCAGAAATACACTCGAAATAGTTGAAAATCTGTGCCGAGGCTCTTCTCTCATAACTTTGGATCCTTGTCTGACTGGGATACGAACCCACTTCATGCAGAAACTTCACACAGTCAGCTGATTTCAAAATTCGAACGTACTGAAGCTCCCACTTAACCCAAAGGCATTAGCTCTGCAATAAATCAGTTATTTTAACGGTAATTGATAATTTTATATTAGAATTAATTTTTGTTTGTTTCTTTATTTTACATTAAACTATACTCAAAAGCTAAACAAAATTGTACGAATTGAGGTGGACTATAACAACTGTTCGTGGAATTGGTCATTTTGTATTACAAAAATTAAATAAATGAATTAAATTCTTACATTAATTAAACGCTTACGTTGGCGAAGAGGCAGAAGTAGGGGCGATGAGCCACACACTTTCTTCACTTTATACAGAACGGAATAGTTAATGCGGATATTTATTAATGTTCAACTTTGGTAGTAGCTATTAGATCTTGTGAGAGTATCAGAAGATGCTACTCCTACCACTACACCCAGGCTTCACATTAATATACTCCAAAATTACCATTACCTATGTAGCTACGTATTTCAAATTGAATATTTTAGGTTTCGCAATATTTTGTAGAACTAAAACTAAACATAACTTTACTGCTTCCTTTTTCTCGTCTCGTCTTCAGAGCGCGTTTTCAATGTCATTTCACCATAATCAATTCATTGTTCTCGCTTGCACTCACTTTAGCCAAATCATCGACCAGGGTGTCGAGCAACGCCCGCAGCTCTTGTTGTGCGAATTCCTGAGGCAAAGGCAGGCGTTCCAAGGCAATTTTTATAATCAGACATGGATTGAGCACCGGACAGACGAGCAGCACACCGCGCACAAGACAAGCCAAATTTTGTGCAATTTCACTTTGACACAGACGATGCTTGGCCGTGGGACAGGGTAATAGATTGATACGTGAGCATAAATCAGCCAATTGTGGTTTCAAATTCTCCCAACGCGCCTCTATGTCTGCTTCGGTCTTGAGAGTTTTGAGACCTTTAAACTGTAATTAGAAATAAATTAATAAGTACAATACAGAAAAACATTTATTTTTCGTTGTTAACAAACCTTTTCGTTGATGTCTATAAAATCTAAAAAGATTTGTCCCTGATTAGACCAATTTGGTACCTTTATAGTCTTGTTGGACTCTGCGCCCTCGAACTGGCATAACAAGCTGTGCAAATAGTCAAGGTTGTCTGTATAGAAAAAGAGAGGGGAAAAATATAAAAATTTGTTAAAATTATATCCCCAAGCTCTTACCGTTAATGATTGCATCTGGGGCAATATGCTGGAATATGACTTCATGGGCTAATGGCCATTGTTTCGCCTTGAGCAAATACTTCGCTTGCAGGTGATGGTTTCCAATAGCGCCTGCTTTCACTGCCTTTGCATAATCAATCCATTTTTCTGGCACACCCAAATTGTTTATAACGAATTTCTCCTTTTCCGATAGCGCAACATCTTTGGAAACACTCACATAACGGTAAAGGGCATTTTGTACAGACAATTCACGTTGATTGCGATCTTTTATATGTAACAACACGAAAATGGCCCATTCCCAAAGATCGTAGTTTTCTAATTGACTGGCGAAGCCAACATGCAGTTGACTCTCACTCAACACGGAGCAGTGGCGATAACCGATTGCCTCGAGAGTTTGCAGCAGCAGCCAGCTGATGATTAAATTTTTTTTTTATTTAAGGATATTTCAAGACTACTTATTTTTTAATATTATTTCAAAGCTACCTCAAGCGATAGTCCATTGGGTCAGCAGTATGTGTTGCCGGATTCAACAAACTCTCCATTGGATGACTGCGTTTGGAAAATAGCTGCAGCAGGTGGTAACGTAAGTCGTAAAGTGTGTACTTTTCATTGAAATTAGTGTTGTCCATATAACAGGGTGTCGGTGGCAATGAATAAAACTCTTTTGATTTAAATGATTTTTCATAGGCCAAAAGCGCGTCGGTAATGGACGCAGTGGGAGATGAAATGTACCATAATTGGATCTGCGAATGTATTGAAAGAAAATTCCATAACAAGTAAACGAAAATAACAAGCAGCACTAGACTTACCGCCAAAACCTTGGTCCATTCGATGCCGTCCAAAGTGTTGATGGGTCCGTGACCCGAATCCATTAGTGCTACACCCGCAACAAGCATGTACAACTTCAAGCGCTCCAGCTGTATAAACTTGTCGGCCTCATCTTTATGCCAAGCGGCTAATTGATCTTCCATTAGCTGACGCACAGTCGGACCCGATGAAAGTTGGGAGAGTAATAAGGCCAGGTTAACATCGTCATATCGCACAGCCAACTCACACGCTTCGGTCACCTTATGACACATCACCAACTCCAACAAATGATCCAAATAGGTGTGCTTGGAGACATTCTTTGTTAGCAAATCTTTATCGGTTAACGTGTTCTCCAGCCACTCGGAAAGTAAATTGCGGCGGCACATGACAGCGAAGTGCGATGTAGGTTCACGACCGTCAAGCTCTTCATGTTCACCCCACAGCGCGAGGCAAAGTGACCAAACTGAGACGGCATACTCTTCGAGAGGACCCAAATTAATTTGTTTGATAGCTTCATCCAAATGTTTCACTATCAAATCGGTGCCGTTGTTCGACTTTATCCATGGGCATTCACTACCCTCAACGTCTTCTTGTAGTGAATTGCGCAATTGCAACTCCAAATGTTTAACAATGCTCTCCTTGAAGTGCTCATAATGCATTACAGAAGATATTTTAATGTGTTGCAAAATAGTTTTGCTGAAATCCTTCGAACCACGACCTTTAAATAGGTAGGAAGATACATCGTAAAGGTGTTTATCTGGAGAGAAAATCAAATATGGCTTAGAGATAGGACAAAATACACTTAAAATGCCATATTAAATTTACTTTGTACTTCATGATCCAGATTCTGGCGTGTAGAGGGCACGATCAGTGTGTTCTGTGGCCCGAAACCAGGCTTGAAACGCCGAAAGTTATGTAAACCCAAATCGGCTACCCATTTTCCGTTCAATTTGAAAGCCAATGACTCTGCCATGGGCACTTGATGTGCGATCACTTTCACACTGGCCACTTTGGGTTTAACAGTGAACGGCGGCAGCTTCTGCAATTGTAATGGCTGTGCTGTTTCACTATCTGGCGCAGGAGTTGAACCCTGTAGAGAAGAAACATTTATTGTCTTCTAATAATTCATATTTGCCAACAATAAATAACTAACCTCTGTATCTACTTCCCGCAAAATGCTCAAGACGGAGACGGAAGACGACGGTGGCAAAGGTGAATCTTGCATGACGAAATCCAGCTGACTGGACGCCTCCGAAAGTGCGCCGCCACCCATAGCAGCTTCCTTCCATAGCGTTTGCTGCGAACCACGCCCATCGTGTATATGCTTGGCGAACAAACCGCCACGACGGTTATGGTTGCGATTATAGTCGTAGTTATTTTCTTGCTCAGTATCAACATCCACAGATTTATTGTCCAAATCGTCATCACCAAAAAATGATGCCTTCATCAGCTGCAGTTTGTGGGCATCAGTACCCGCTTCACGTGCTAAAAAAGCGGTTGGACTAGTTACACGTGGCACTTGCTGCTGTTGGGCCTCGTAAAGAGCATAGTCATTACCATTTGCTTGTAGAAATTCTGTTAGAAAGAGCAGAAGTAGTGTTGAAATATAAACTAGTGGACAAAGGATTGTCCCCGAACTTACGTGTCTTATCCATCAGCATAAATTCGGCAGATTCATCCATGGGAAAATAGCTTCCAGTGTTGGCAGCAATACTTTTTGGATCCAATGCACGCGCGGCATCTTCAGAGATCTATAATGGAAGTGGTAATGAAATTTGTTAAAACACTTAAGTAAAACTCTCCGTCGAAGTAGTCACCTTTTGGGCATTCTTCAAAGCGGCCATGGTTATTTTGTCGACTGTGGCAGTTTTTCCTTGCGCGGCTTGACCAGCTGCCGCAGTTTTAGCACTGGGTGTACCGGCAGCTACCATTTTTGCTTTTTTCGGATCAGTCGGCACTCCGTCGTCTTCTTCATCACTATCGTTAAGTCCGTACTTAGAGAAATGCTTCACGCGGAATACCCAACTGCCCGTCTCCGGACGATACTCAATGAATCGTGTATCATTTCTGTCGCACACCCTACGCAGTTTGCCTTCCCAATCCATATCAGCAAGACGTACAGGATCCTTGATCGGCTCGTGCATAGTTTTGTCATGCGGCCAAACTTGGTCCAATGTTACTTGCGCCTCACGATTTAAACCACTCCCAATTGGTGGCTTATTGTCATCATCCGGGTATATGATTATTTCCTTATTGCGGAAATGTACTGAAATAGAGAAATGGAAATTAATGAATTCTGCTTTCAAATTATGAAAGTTCGTTTGAGACGCACCTATTTCATCCAGGTTCAAGCCAGCAACGTCCATTTCTTTGCCAAAATAGACATTGCCATATCCTTCGCGGCCGACAGTAAAATTGGGTACAGTACAAGATCCATCTTCAGCAAGATAAGACTTCAGATCGTCCAATGAAGGTATTGTGTAGTAGCTGAAATTATTTATATTGAATTGATCAGTAAACACTTAATAATCTTTTTTCTTGCAGCCATGTCATACCCGATGCGTCGCAGTGTTATGCCTGTGGGGTGTTCTTCGTAATCTTCTGCCGTTTCTTCGATCACAGAACGCTCATCGCCGCCGTACGAACGATTAGAGAACAGGCTTTCATCTTGACGCTCTGCAGCCTCGCGTCGTGATGTCTCGCGGCTGGTTTGTTCCTCCAATGTGTTCTCTTGTACCGTGGACACCGAGGGGCGCCCTAACGGTGTACCCGTCGAGCTTCCACCCGTAGTGCGATAAGTATCTAAGGGCTTCCGTGGCACTAATTCAGAAAGAGTACTGTTTAGTGGCACAGCGCCATCTATGCTAGTATTTAAATTTTGTTGTCGCATTTTCTCTACATTATTGGGGTGCAACCATGACTCGCGTCGTCCGATATCACTTTCGCGTGCAACTTGTGGCGGTAGTGCTGCCACACTATAAGCAGTAGATTTGGTCACTTGAGGTGCTGGTGGATCTAGTGGTATTTGTCCAGAAAATGATTCGTTACGTAGCGCATTAATAGAGTTTTGTACAACACCACCCGTCTGACGGGGTGCGCTATTACCAGCAGTGTCTTCAACACCAGATTGTCTGTTGGGACTAGTATTGGTGGAACTACCGACAATTGGGCTTTGGGTTGTTTTGGGTTTTATTATTAGACGCTTCGCATTCGGTTTTAAACTGAATGTTTCCACACTAGAATCAAATTCTTCAAGACCTTCGAAGAGCGACTTCTTTGTCAGTGCACTTGTAATGGGTTTGACACGCACAACACTCGGACTGGATCTAGTGGAGACCTTGAACTGATTCATTGTCGTCTCGAGTATGGCCTTTTGCGCTGCTGGATTAGTGGCGCGGGTCGCATCTGTTTCGTCACTACGTTTCAAATCTTTGAAGATGGGATTATCGCCATATGGTGAAGTGACCTTCGCCAATATTTGTTGATGTATAGGCGGTTGTTGCTGTTGTTGATTACCTCCTAGACCACCAAGTGACATATTACCGCCTCCTAAAGTACCCGTACCAAAGCCACCACCGAGTGTGCTACCTGTACCAAAAGCAGTCGTGCCGCCGCTACCAAAGAGCCCACCTGCTTGGTTGGCAGTACCTTGGCCAAGTGACGTGCCGAACAGGCCACCTGGCTTGGCACCCGCATTACCAAATAGAGAAGTTCCAGTAGAACCAGTGTTAAAATTCAAAGGTGCTGCCGATGTCTGTGCGCCAAATGCACCAAATCCAGACGTCGCTGGCTTGTTAAGAGTCGAATTGAATAATCCTCCACTAGCGTTTCCTAGCGAGAAATTCGTAAAGCCAGTATTAGCTGTAGATGTGGCACCAAAACCAGGTGCAGCACCGAAACCAGTTGCCGCTGGCTTGGCGCCAAATAAGCCCGGACCGGCTGTGCTTGTAGCTGCAGTGCCAAATCCGCCAAAGCCAGTGGTGGCTGCCGAAGAAGTTCCTAAGCCGAAAGCTGGTTTATTTGCATCCGGTGCTGGTGCGCCAAAGAGTGAAGTTTGTTGCGCAGGCTGTGCTCCTCCAAATCCACCGAAACCACTGGTAGTTTGGCCGAACGCTGGAGCTGTTGTCGCGGTTGATGTTTGACCGAACATGCTCGGTTGCGCCTGTCCGAATGCGGGTTTAGCCCCAAATAAATTCGACGAATCTGTTGTTGCGCCGCCAAAGCCAGTAGTTGCGGGTGCGCCGAAAGGTTTTGCCAAAAAGGTGTTTTGCTGTGCCTGTGCCCCAAACGCAGTGGTATTAGTTTGTCCGAAAGCACCACCACCAAACAGACCTTTGTTTTCTGTCGTAGCCGCTGCGGGCTGACCAAAGAGACCTGTGGTGGGTTGAGCTGTGGCGCCAAACAGACCAGTACCAGAAGCTGCCGGTTGCGTGGTCGAGCCAAAGAAACCACTAGTTGCTCCTGACGTGCCTGCTTGAGGTCCTTTTCTATTTGCCATATAATCTTCTAAACGCAACTCTTCCAATGATTTTCCTTCATACTCTTTCATAGCTGTAATGCAATGTTGCTTGGTGTTCACATTGTTCGGTTGGCCGGCTTTCATGAGCGTGTCAGTACCTATAGTAGGTTGATACTTTGCTATCGACGTACCAGCATTAGCTCCCATCATCATTGTAGTGCCACTTCCGAACACATTACTCGTTGTTGGTTGAGCCTGTCCAAAAGAACCAAATCCAGATGTACTTGTCGCTGCTGCGGGCTGACCAAATAATGAAGGTGTTGGTTGCGCAGTCGTTTGTCCAAAGCCACCTAAAGTGCCAGGCTTAACAGCTGAACCGAATGCTGATGTTGTTGATTGACCAAAAAGAGAGCTGGTATTAGCTGCAGGTTGTGGAGCGCCGAACATTGACGGTGTTTGTGTTGTTTGCTGAAACCCTAGATATAAAAATATGTATTAACCGTTACTGGAAATTAGTTATCAAACTAACCTCCAAATGCAGGCTGTGCGGTCGTAGTACCACCGAACGCCGACGTAGTGCTTGCAGCGCCAAATAGACCTGTCGGTTGCGGTTGAGCTGCATTTGCACCGAATAGCGAAGGCGTTTGTTGTTGTGTTCCAAATGCCGGCGCAGCACCGAAAGCCGATGATGTTGGCTTTCCAAACGCAGATTGACCGAATGGTGAAGATGTTGTTGTATTGCTAAAACCACCAAAACCAGTACCCGTCGTAGACGTGCCAAATGTGGGCTTTGTTCCACCAAACATTTTATTTCGCCACTAACTGCGCACTTTACCTAAAATATATACCAATGTCATCAAACATAGTGCAATTTGTGACTCACTACCGCTGATTTCGCAATGCGTGCAACATGCCCTCCATGAGGGGCATGCAACAGCATAAATCAATGAGAAATTAGACGAAAGTGTTTGCAAACATTCAATTTTTATATTGTAGCAATATTAAACCTCACTTACACAAATAATTTGATTTTTTATCACACAAAAACTCGGAATGCAAAATACAAAAACCGTTTACAAGCAAGAAAAATGGCGCTTTTGGGAGAATCTTTGCAAATTTGACATATCACACTCAAGTATACATGTGAGAAAGCTATCGATAACAAAGCTCCCGAAACTAATCGACCAGGAGGTTACATTAACGTGTGTTTATGTATAACAGTTTGGCGAAAAGTGTTGAAAAAACTCACTAGCGTTTCTCATAGAAGCCAAAGAACGTGTAATTATTATTATTATTATTGGTTCAGGTTTCACAGACAGAATGAGTATCCGCTTTGGACTTTCTTTCGCAAATTAAATTCCACGAATAGGGGTAATCTTCTTTTGTTTTCTCGGCATTTTTATGGCGATGATGACAACATATACAAAGAACTTGTATTAATAATAATATACGTTCTTTGTTTTTGTTTTGGTACGAAATTTTATTTCGTCGCCATAATTGCCTCACTCAGAGAACGTATGTACGTTCTCTGCTTCGCTTTGTACGAAAATTGCGAGATATTTGAAGGAAGGTGTAATCTGGTTGTGGCACCTCACTATTCACCTCAACAAACTTTTTCAAATTGGCTCACAGTTCTTTTCCCTTCTTATTAATATACGATCTTTGGTGACGTCTAGATACAAATTTCTGTTTTAGTAACCACAAATTGCTCTTATTTTGTTGTGTAAACGTCACATATATCTTTTATATATTGAAGTAAAAATTGGCTTGCGCAATATTTTCAATTGATATATATGGTGACTTCATTCTTTCATTTGTCAAACAGATCATTAGATTAACCTGCTTTGCTGCTCCCACTCGTGTCGGTTAGACAAGAAAATATGTGTGAAAGCAAAATGCCAATAGGAATTTATCGAAAGCGTCAAGTCTGCGGCCCCTCATTTCTCGATAGCCACCACCGAATTCGAAGCAACAGACGGAAAATGTTATTTGACGAGTGTAGAACAACATTAAAATAATAAAGCAAGAGAGTCGCAAAGAAACAACAGAGCAACAATTAAAAATCAACTTTTTTTTATTTATATTCTGTTAAAATCGTGGTATAACTAATCAGTGGGGTTAAAGACGAGAGACGTGCACTGAAATGAGTGTTAACCAATTATTGTTGGAATTTTACGAAAACGGTATAAATACAATAAATACGAAAAAAAATTAAAGAAGATCGAGTGAAATACGCTTCTCTGTGAGCGTTTGCTGTGCTGTTGGAACGATGTCATGCCGATAAGATTCGAATTGCAGTGCGGGGGAAAGATTGAAGTGTGTTGTTTAGCCATAGAGCTGTTTCTCCGTTTCTAATAAATAAAGTGGTATTTCAAACGAAATCGAACAAAATTACGTTATTGCATTAATTTTTGTAAACCAAATTGTCGCAATGTGGTTAATCGAGTGCATACTAACAAGAAATTAATATTTATGTTTTTCGAATGAGGTCCATTTTTAGTATTAAAGTGTTTATGTAAAATAAATATGTTTATTAAAAACGTAAACTTTGCAAATCATATTGTTATTGTGCGAGTTTTTCAAAAATGATTTATTGTGCGTTTTTTGTGTTTGTGCAAATAAGGCAATAGCGCAACCTCAATAAATAAATTGAAACGAAAGTAATAATTGCTTATACTGGCGTAAATAAATATGAGCTCGTTAAGGCGGTATTTAATTTGTTATATTCATCACTGAAAGCATATTCAAATGCGAGAAATGATAGTAAAAGTTGTTGAAAAAGTAAAGTGAATTGCAAAACAGGAAAGCTAGGGTAACAACAACAAAAAATACCAAAGTGTCTCAAAAAGTGTCAATTCGAAGTCAAAACAAAACAAGATGACGTCGACTGTAGCAGAAACTCTGTCAGTGTGGAGAGAAGCGAATAGCAAACACGCTTTTGGGATTGGTAAGTCTAAAAATATTATACCAGAATAAAGGCAAAAAACAAAAAGTTGATTTAAAAAAAATCATTTTCCATTACGAATATTTATTCATATTATTAAGGTTATCTTTATTCATTTATTTTTAGTCTTTATTTGAACAAATAACATTTTTACAATATATTAAGTACCTACAAAGGAAAATAGTACATATTGTCACAAACAATCAGACGTAAACCCTAGAATAGAGAAAAGTAAAAAAAATAATGCGAAAGATCATTTTCAAAAAATTTAAGAAAATTGTATTAAGAAATTTTCCCAGTTGTTAAGATCAATAGGTAACTGTTTTCATAATAAGAATATTTTATTCTTTTAACGTAATTCCAAAGGCTTTTCGTAGTCACTTTCTACTCTTCCTAATTCATAATAAAATAAGTAATAGCACACTTTAACAGCGTACCAAGTCAAAAATAGCCTAATTGGTTTCTCCTGGAACAGATCGGTTCACTACTACTTAAACGTCGTAATTATATTCATATGCCTAACTATATTAAACAAGTTATTTTCTAAGATGTTATAGATGTGCTATATTTAATAAGGGATTTCAATGCTAACCCTTTAGCAATTAAAAATTTTAAACTTAGTTTTGACGAATAGTTACAAAAAAGGTTCAGTCACCTCCTATTTTCATGTGCATATGTACACACACAAAATTCTTTCGATGTAATAGGTATGGTATGTGTGTATTGTTACCAATTTTTTGGCTTAAAAGAGTGCATATGTATGTATATCAAACACAATACAAAATTGTAATGAATTTTGGATGATCTTCGTAAACAAGTTTTTCACAGTCTTCTTTGATGTGTTCTTTCTTTACGAAACTTGGTTTGATCGACCTACCTGCATTTTCCAACTCCAATGGGCTAATACTCGTATGTAGTATGTGGTCCTTTCAACTTTTACACATCCAGAATGGCTCATAAATATCTTATGTTTTTAACGTCACACGGACTGGACCCTTTCCTGCATTGGGACCTTATTGTTTTTTTTACAAAGCAATTTGGTCTGACAACGAAAACAGGGCATTATATTATATAATAAATGCTAAGGTATAAAGACGACGATATTTTTTCATTATTTTTCTACCTTTTGCATCGCTTTCGTTTTGTGTGGATGCCACAGGTCATTAGTTTATTTTCAATGTTTTGTAGAGTTCGTCTCGGCAATAAGAGGCCAAAGTGCAATTAGAAGGCTAAAGGACGGTAGCGGCAATTGACCCCCAGCCGAGTAACTTGTTGCAGCGCATCATCAACAGACACTTGACAAATGCATGTATGTATGTATGTATGTGTGAATATGTGAAGAAGAGGGCCAGACTACATTACTCGCTCAAAAACATACAAAAGAACCTCGATGTACGCCCGTTTTTCACATTTTCTTTATTGCTGGTTGCCTAAAATTTTGTGTTTACATCTAATGCACGTATGTATACGTAAAGGTATACATACATAAGCACATACGAACATTACAGTCTTGTAGAAAACATGTAATTGCAACAATTTAGCTTACTTTCACCATTCCCAAAATACCAGACGAAGTAAAATTGGTATTTTAAAATTTCTTCATTTTTGCTTTATTGAATTTTTATTCTTTTATTATTTTATAGAAATATCAGTGGGCATTTATAAAATAAAAACACCACTAGTGGACAATCGAAATAACGCTAAGTGTAACTTTTTTTCCACATGAGTGTAAATACTACGTACATATGTGTTAGTATGGGCCACGCGGTGTGTCACTGGTTGCACTTGGAAAAGTGGAGCACGTTTAGAGTTTCAGCATTATTGTACTTGAAAAAAGAAATTAATAACAAGAATGCAAAGCGTTGATGATACAATGATGCACTTCTACATGCATACATACATACATACATAAATACATACTAATTTAAAAACTATGATGAATTTCGGTAGCTTTTAAATGAAAAGTAGCGTGAATTTAAATATGTTTCGGATGGCGCATTGTAAATAAGAATAAATTCGTAAATGCATATGTAGTATTAAACGATGTACTTAAACACATATAACATACATAGGCTTAATGTGCATGAGTACATACATACATTAATCCAATCTACTGTGATTACCTGCACACTGACTGTTTGAAATACGAAACCCGCTTGCACTTGAATTAGAACCCGGCTTCATATTTCTATACTGACTTGGGTGTGTACACATACATACATATGCATGTATGTGGGTGTGTTTGTACATTTACAAATAGCTGTGGTACTCAGTGTAAAAACTATGACAGTGACCATGAAACTTAATTCGATTATCTCTTTATCTAAAGTCTAAAACACAACATTTTTCGCTGTATAAAACTATACGTACATACACACATATATACATACATTTGTAGATATATTTGTAATTGAATTGTGTGTGTGTGTGTGTTTCCAAAACGTATTTTCTTCACTCAATCGCACTTGCCCGTGCGCCTCGGCGTAATCTACTAATTTATCGAATTGATGTAATAAATTCATTTCATGAGATTGAATGCTGCAAATTGAATTTTATAGTAAAATTTGCCTGATTGACCTTTGATTGAGTGTAGCGCCAATTGACATTGATCAATTTGAGAAAAGTTATGAAAATAATTAGTTATATACATATGTACACATGTATTTATGTATATGCAACTTTTGCCAATGATTAAATAAATAAATTAATAATATTCAGTCGCTTATGACTGTTTTTTTTACCTTATCTTTTATTTTTAATTTTAATTTTATTTATGGAATTTATTGATTTTTCTTTTATTAAATTTTATTTTTATTCATTTTGTTTATTTTATGTACGAGGTATGTTCAAAAAATATAGCGAATTTTGTGCTCTTTCAAAAATTATTTATATATTCATGAATATCTATTTTGTCCTCTTCAAAGTACTCCCCATGAGATATTATACATTTGTGCCAACGGTTTTTCCAATCTTCGAAGCACTTCAAAAAACCATTTTTTTATGTTGTTCAGCTTCTCCTTCGATGCCGTCTTTATCTCGTCAGTCGTAGCGTAACGTCGTCCTTTTATGGTCCTCTTCAGTTTAGGGAACAAGATAAAGTCACAGGGGGCCAGATCTGAGGAATACGGTGGCTGCAGCATGATTAGTGTGTTGTTTTTGGCCAAAAAGTCGCGCATAAGCTACGATGCGCATAACTTGCAGGTAATATTCCTTATTGACCGTTCTACCCTGTGGCAAGAACTCATGATGCACCACGCCCCTGCAATCGAAGAAAACTGTTAGCAAAACTTTCTTTAAAAATTAAAAATCGAAGACCATCCAAAACACGTGGAAGCAAAGCAGCTGTAAAAAATTAAGTGAACATTCAAAATGGCCGAGCTTATCGGCATAAGTGACAGACATGAGTACCAACATAACGCCACAAAATAATCGAAATACGATTATACATAACCCGCGAAAATTCAAAATTCGCGATACTTTTTGAACACACCTCGTATATTAGATATCCATATCTGCATATGTAAAAATTAAACAATAAATAATTGATAAATCAAAGTACTATTTTTTCAAACACTGTAAAACAAACCGAATGAGTAAAGAACAAGCTCCCAGACGTTTGCGCCACCCTCAAAAACGAGCGCCAAGGTTTCCCCACTCATCTATCTTCTATCGTATGACAAAGAGTAAATATTTGCTAGAAAAAACAAACAAAATCATTCATATGTACTTACATATTTACATAAATTAAAAAAAAAAAAAAAAAATTATAAATAAAATTTGAAAAAAAAATAATATCAAACAAAAGATAATAAAAAAATAAAAAATTTTTAAATTAAATTCAATTCAATCAAAAATAACTTAAATAAATTAAACTAAATAATAAATTGATTAAATTTTTAATGTTTAAATGTATGTATACTAAAAAAAAGTTGTATAACTAAACCCGCTAACGCTGGAGAAACTCGAAAAAGTTGTCAGTTCCACTTCGACGCTTCCAATGGACAATCGTACATATCGAAAAAAAATTCCACGCATATACAACTCACGCCACAAAGCAGCAAAAACCTCAAGTATTAGCACTAAAAAAAATAAAAAAGAGGGCTAAATAAATAATATAAAACAAAAACATAAATTATTCCACTAAAAAGTAACTAATATAATATACATACATATGCATATATATATATATATGCAGTACGCCGCATTTGAAAGAAAAGCAACTTCATAATTGGCATGGAGCGATTCTCATCTTATGCGCCGTCAAGCACAATCGTAGTAACAAACGTAATTTTTATATATATAAACTTATATAAACACTAACACTTCATGTAGTATATAAGTCGATTGAGTATGATATCTATGGCTGAGCTGTCGGCGCATACTTACTTAGCTGATTTTTCGTACAATAGCGACGCGGCAACTCGGTTATCGTCACTTTATTGCTTAGCTTTTTCCCTTGCGTTTTGTTTTTATCTATCTTTTGCTGCTTTTACAATTGAGTTTTTTGTTTTTACTATTATTAACTATTTCTTGTTTTATTTAATGCTTGTCGGTTATGTACATACATACATACTTAAGTGTACATACAATTGTGTGTACGTGCAATTTTTTAATTTTTTGTATTTCATTATTTTTCTTAGCTATTATTTTCTATCTCGAAAAGTTCTCCTTTATTTATGGCACTTTTTTTTCGCATATTAAATTGTTTTATTTTTCTTGAATTGTATTCAATAATTATTCACTTTTATTTCAATTATATTTACGTTTTATTACGTCTTACGTCGTTGCTTGCCATAAGTTGTTGAGTGTAATAATACTGTTATATTATATAAACGCAGAAGTATCAATCTTACTTACTATTATGTACGTACGTACATGCGTTCTATATTTCAATATGCAAGTTTGCACCCACAATACTTTATGTGATCATTAAGCAATATTCCCGTTTCATTTTTATTATTTTTTAATTAAATCAATTATTCATATTTCACGACATTCCAAAA